CAGGCAGTATTCCATTACTGGACAGGATAAGCCCATCTTTCATCCTATTAGAAGAGAATGGTACTGGTCAACACTACTTCCTGTGCACTGTGGTGCAAAGGAAAATGTGATAGAAAATCTAAAATCTTAAAGTTGTCTCTTAAACAGGAATAGAGGGGGAGCCATCCGATTGGATACTTGTTCCAAAGGCATCAGTCTAAAGCTGGCCATACATGGATCTAATTTTGGCTGGTTCAGCAGAGACCTTTGCACCATGTATGGCCACTGTGGTTGAATAGACGTTGATCTGCTTATCGACTTCTTTTCAACCACCCTGTCGGATTAAAACCGCTCGATCAGCACTGCCGGCTACAGACTGCAGCACTGATCTATGCATTCTGATGGTGAGGGAGTCTCCCCGCTGTCAGAATACAATAGCACAGCGAGGAGGATTCCCACCACCCTTTCATTGAACAAAAAAACTGACCCATATATGGTCAGCTTTGGAGAAGATTTCTGCTGACGTTGTGTATGCTGTCCCAGATATACAACAAGAAGTGAGAAAATCTCCCAAATGAGACAGGCAGTAATCATTCCTAAATCTATTGAAAACCATTTACAAAAATAGTTAGTTGTCGATTCATTTTAAACCACCTGACAAAAAGCCAATAAGCTATTTTATGATGTCCTATTACTGCACATATTCATTATATTTACGTAGAAGTTAAACTCTCTACTGACATGACAGAGGCTGGGCAGTACAAAGACAAGGCATGGTAAGGACGCCCGCCTGGTAAAGTTAAACTACCCACCCTCTGGTCACTGTCTGGAGCCAACTATGGGTATTTTACCTTAATTTGAAAGGCAGGAAGAGCATCAGAGTTCAGGTCCATAAAAGGTCCATAATTCAAAAACAAAAGGAAAATTAATAACAATACACCACAAATTTCAATATCAGACAAGGGAATATTATTTTTTTGAAAATGTGCTTTGTTTACTTAACTGTTCATGCACAAGACAGATTCTGCAAAAATATGACTATCTGCATTTTCCTATGTATAGGGTGCTACCGGATTCCCTGGTGCTGCAGGCAGAGTTGGTCCATCCGGTCCCAATGTAAGTAACCTTGTTTATGAGCTTTAACTAGTGTATTCATAAATGTGCATTATTTTCATGGTGGGCATCACCTTTTCATGGACTTTCTTAAGACAAGACTTGCATCTTGAGCACCCTAAGGCCTATCTTCTTTTTCCACTAGTCCACCAAGTTAAAGCTATGTGATATATAATAACATCATCTGTCTGTACTTCGCTTTCTTCTCTTTAACATGCCAATTTAACCATGTTAGCTAATGTTAGTAGACTACTTGTTATATAGGTAAAGGTACTTGTGGCTACCGGCATTTACAAATATTTTTGTCCAGTAACTTTAGACTGTAACAGAAAACTGCCCTTGACCTAGAACACTGGTGGTTCCTAGTATCATAGCCTATCAGAAGACAATTAGACCACCTTGTCTTTGCGGAGATCAAATTTTAGTGGTCCTGCAACTCTAGGCCTAGGTAATCTGTCCCAGTTATTTTAAAAGAAGCAATGAATTACTATTATTTCATCTTGTAAAAAAAGTTTTTCATAGTTTGTAAAGCGGATTAGTAATTTCTGTGCAAATGAAAACTTTTTACGGCAAATGCTTTGAAGATCCTCTTGATGTGAATCTCAAAATACCATTATATTTCATTTTTAATAAATATCCTGTAATCTCTTAAAGTATCTTTCATTAAAATTCATACGTCACATAAATCATTAGAGCATGTCAACATTGCTGAATTACATTATTTTAAATAAAACTTTTCCTTGCTATGCTGATCTCCAGCTCCCTGCCCAGGCATCACTGATCACATTTCTCTAGTTACTAGTCAGATGCAGATCTGCTACTGCAGATGGTCTATTATATTCAATCTGCAGTGAAATTAAAGGATCAGGAAAACTGAGATAAGGACAAAATATACATATAAGCTTTCAATACATTTACACGTATTAATACAATTGTTTAAGTTGATCCCTTTCATATGGATATATGTAAATATATTACAAAGTCTACACTTTCCCTTTAAACTGTAGAGAACAAACACACAGTTATTATGTGTATGTTTACATTAGGCCACTGCCTCTCAATTACATTAGTTTTGTCAGCCTGCCATACATGTCCCTTCACTTGGCTGCTTAGCATCTTATCAGGTTAGCTGTTCATTTCAAATGTAATATAATTAAAATGTACCTATTTTTTAAATTCATGTCATAGGGTAATCCCGGACCTCCTGGTCCTCCTGGATCTGCTGGCAAAGATGGACCAAAGGGTGCTCGCGGTGATGGTGGTCCTCCTGGCCGTGCTGGTGATCCTGGTTTGCAAGGTCCTGCTGGTTCTTCTGGTGAGAAGGGAGAGCCTGGTGAAGATGGTCCTTCTGTGAGTATATATATATTAAAAGCTACCTTGCGCACATTATGTATTAAATCAAAATCTGGTTACATGAACACATGGAACAAAGTGGGTCACCAATTATTACATGTACGTCATCTACTTACACAGGCCTGTCATGCTACTGTCCAGCTCTGAAATTGTTGTGTTTTTTCTATTCATTAGGGTCCCGATGGTCCCCCTGGTCCTCAAGGTTTGGCTGGACAGCGTGGTATTGTTGGTTTGCCTGGTCAGCGTGGTGAGAGAGGTTTCCCTGGTCTTCCTGGACCTTCTGTAAGTATGAAATTAAATGTCAAACAGTACTAATACAGTACTAATACATAAATAATGTCTTCTAGTCTGTAATAAAATGACTATAAGGAGACTATGTGAACAGGTACACAGTCCAATATTATACAGTAGGCTGTGAAGCTGACAGTGACACAAAAACTTCTTAAGCCACCCAGGAATTTCTCAGGCAGGCTTTGAGAAAAATAACATTCCTTTTTACAGTTCCATAGTTCACTGGTGAGAAGCAGTTATCATGTGAAATCCTCCCACCATGTTTCTGAACACGTCCTATACTATATAGATGTAATACATGCTCACCGGTCACTTTATTAGGTACACCTGTTCAATTACTTGGTAACAGAAATTGCTAATCAGCCAATCACATGGCAGCAACTCAATGCATTTAGGCATGTAGATGTGGTGCAGATGACTTGCTGAAGCTCAAACCAAGCATCAGATTGGGGAAGAAAGGGATTTAATTGACTTTGAAGGTGTTATGATTGTTGATACCAGACAGACTTGTCTGAATATTTAAAAATCTGCTGATCTACTGGGATTTGTGTGCACAACCATCTCAAGGGTTTACAGAGAAGGGTCTGAAAAAGAGAAAATATCCAGTGAGCTGCAGTTGTGTGGACGAAAATACCTTGTTGATGTCAAAGGAGAATGGGCAGACTGGTTGCTGCAACATTCAGATGGTAGGGTCAGAATTTGGTACAAACAACATGAAAGCATGGATCCATCCTGCCTTGTATCAATGGTTCAGACTGGTGGTGGTGTAATGGTGTGGGGAATATTTTCTTGGCACTAGCAAGGTGTACTTAATAAAGTTGCCGGTGAGTGTAGATGTTCTGTATTAATGAGTATGTTCTAAATTTCTGCCATGGTTTTCTCTAAAAGGCCAAGTAGCAGAAAATAGGTAATAGAAGGAAACCAGTATGTAACAGCTGTTTATACCAGTAACTTTTTTCCCTTACAGATTCTTTTTAAAGTGCAGACACATACATACAAACACTATATTGCCAAAAGTATTGGGACACCCCTCCAAATCACTGAATTCAGGCGTTCCAATCACCTCCATGGCCACAGGTGTATAAAATCAAGCATCCCAATACTTTTGGCAATATAGTGTACATGCAGCAGCTTTCAAAATGCTGCAGTCATAGCCAAATGCGGGTTGTTTTGACAGTCAAAGCCCAAACGCTTCTTAAAGGCATGTTTGCCTTTTCTGCTAGTCAGGCAGCATATTAGAATGAAGAGCCATTAAGAATGTTGGTAGGAAATTGTTTGAGTTTTCTCCTCTGAAAATGGTCTGGTATTTGGCCATAACTGTGGGCTGTGAAGGCAAGTCTAAGGGCCTTTACTTTGTAGTTTTTTTATTACCTTGACAAAAAATATTTAAGCATAAAAAGAAAACCACTTCAGAATCTTTAAGTTATAGGAACCTTTCTAAACAACTAAGGAGCATATACAGTAGATATCAGGCATTTAATTGTGTACTTTCTGTAACTGTCAGTTACCATCCATATTTTTACTGTACCATCCATATTGATCACTTAGTGATAAGATGGCGGCCATTATGGCTGGAGATTGGAAATATGCTGTAGATTTTGTTAATAGGTTTAACATTTTCTAAATCATTTTCATGATTGACATTGCTCCTTTAACCACTAGCCTACAGGGCACTTATACCCCCTTCCTGCCCAGGCCAATTTCCAGCTTTCAGCGCTGTCACACTTTCGCGGTCATGCAACACTGTACCCATATGAAATTTTTATCATTTTTTTGAGACAGATAGAGCTTTCTTTTGGTGGTATTTAATCACCTCTGGGATTTTTTTTTTCTTAAACAAACCAAAAACCACTGAAACGTTTGAAAAAAAAAAAAAAACATTTTTTTTTTAGTTTTTGTTATACAATTTTGTAAATAAGTGATTTTTCTCCTTCACTGATGTGCGCTAATGAGGCTGCAGTGATGGGCACTGATAGGCTGCACTGATGGACACTGATAGGTGGCACTGATGGGCACTGATGAGGAGGCACTGGTAGGTTGCACTGATGGGCATTGACAGGTATCACTGATGGGCACTAAAAGGCAGCACTGATACATGACACTGATATATGGTACTGATAGGCAGCACTGACTGGCACTGATAGGCGGCACTGACCGGCACTGTTGGGCAGCACTGACCGGCACTGTTGGGCGGCACTGACTGGCACTGTTAGGCGGCACTGACTGCACTGATAGGTGGCACTGATGCGCACTGATAGGCGACACTGACTGGCACTGATTGGCAGCACTGATAGGTGGCACTGATTGGCATTGATAGGTGGCACTGACTGGCACTGATGGGTTACACTGAAAGGCAGCTCAGATGGGCACTGATATGTGGCATTGATGTGCATGGTATGCACTGATATTTGGCATTGATGTGGCACTGATGGGCACTGGTACGTGGCACTGATGAGCACTGACTGCTGGCACTGATGGACACTGACAGGTGGCACTTCTGGGACCACAATGATCATCAGGGCACACTGATCATCAGTGCCCTGATTATCAGTGCACATGTCCCCTCTGCGGAAAGCCGATTACTGGCTCTCCTCTCTTCTCGAGCTGTCAGCGTGACAGCTCGAGAGGAGAGAAAATGCCGATAACCGGACATTTCCGTGTTTACATGTGATCAGCTGTGATTGGACACAGCTGATCACATGACCGAGCTGACATCTTCGGCTCTTTCCGTGATCCGCTGTGTCCGAGGGACACAGCGCACCAGCGATCGCTGCGCTGCGCGCTCCCTGAGCCGCGTGCATGCGCGGTGAGAATGGAAGGACGTCATATGACGTCCTATCAGAACGAGAGAACCACCTTGTTCCCGTCATTGTACTATATGGCGGACGGAAGGTGGTTAAAACATAATAAAGATAAAACTTTTTTTTTTTTTAGTTTCGGATAGAAAAAGAGATTTTCCCTCTCTATCTTGCTGTTATCAGAGAGAGAGAAAATTAAAGAAAAAAACACATTTTGGGTTGCTACCAGAACAGGAATGAAAGGAAAATCTTTCTTTGTGCACACTAGTTCTAGTGACCCTGGCAACACCCAGGAATTCCCTCACTTTGCAGGGATTTCCTTTCACTTTCTGTTTTGGCTTTCAGACCCTAAGGTTTGGTTCACACACCTATGCAGTTTGCTTTTGATCTGTTTCTGCAGTGATTTTTGCGTTTTTACACATGCATTTTTCAAGTGTTTTTTAATGTGTTTTGTATTTTGTATGTTTTTTTGGCCAATTTGTTGTTGGGTAGATTTAAAAAAAATGCAAAATGCGCCGAAAACACACTACATGCTTTTTTTTCTGCAGCATCTCCCTTAGTGAACCAAAATGCACCATTTTGCATTTAAAAAAGTCCCTGACCTTTTCTTAAAACACAGCAGCTGAGAAAAGCATAGATGTGAACAGGTCCTATAGGAAACCATATTAAATGGAGTGTTGTGCGTTTCTGCAAAAAGCACCAAAAAAACATAGGTGTGAACCAGGCCAAAAAGAAAATCTCTACAATGGGACACAGATTGCAAAAAAGCTGACAAGGGTTATAACTCTGCAGTACTCCAAAATGAAAACAAGTTTTGTCTTTAGTTCTTCTTTAACCACTTCAATACTGGGCACTTTCTCCCACTTCCTGCCCAAGCCAATTTTCAGCTTTCAGGGCTGTCACAATTTGAATGACAATTGCACGGTCATGCAACTCTGTGCCCAAATGAAATTTTTATCATTTCATTCACACAAATAGAGCTTTCTTTTGGTGGCATTTAAACACCACTGGCTTTTTAATTTTTTGCTAAATAAAGAAAAAAAGACCTACAATTTTGAAAAAAAAAATCAACATTTTTTTCTTATAATATTTTGCAAATAAATAATCTTTGTAAATTTAGGCCAAATGTATAATATTACATTTCTTTGGTGGAAATAACCCAAATCAGTGTATATTATTTAGTTTGTAGGAAAGTTATAGAGTCCACAAATTATGGTATATATATGTCTGAAAATCGATCAAACCTGATGTACTCATGGCCTATCTCTTTCCTGAGGCCTGAAAATTCCAGGGCAGTACTATTCCCTCCACAAATGACTCCTTTTTTGGAAAGTAGACAGTCCAAAGAATTTAGTAAGCAGCATGGCAAGTTTTTTGAAGTTGTAATTTTTTTTGTCACAATTTAAAAAAAAAAAAAAATTAAGAATGTTTTTTTTCACAATTATTTTTACATACTGTCAACAGTGCAGTGCAGCATCATCATATAACTGGTATGATTGTGATCAATGACACTGAAGTAGTGAGAGCATGTTAAAATTAGTTTTTTTAATAATTTTCCTTCAATTTTTTTCTTTTCTTATTAAATTTTTTTTTAACGATTTTTTACATACTGTGATCAGAACAATACAATACCATAGTAACACTGTACTACTCTGGGGAGGTGATCAGGATTTTTTTTTTTTTTACACACAATGAGTGCTTATAACAATGATAATCACTGTTATAAGCAACCATTTTTGTCTGAATGAAATTCATTCATACAGTGTGTACTATTGTGATTAGCTGTGATTGGCCACAGCTAATCACATAGTACAGATGGGCTGTGATTGGCCTTGTCTGTACCATGTGATCACTGTGACAAATCACAGAGATCAACAAAATAGTACGCAATGAATGTTAGCCATCCACTGCATACAATTGTCATGTGATCTGCTCTGATTGGTCACAGCAATCACTAGGTACCGGCAGAGGCCCAGTACACTGATCTGTCATCCACTGTGTCTGGTGGACACAGTGGATGACAGATTGCACTGCAGCATAGCCCGTGGGGCATGCGTGAGGTGCAATCCTAGGAGGATGTCAATTGATTCACGCAGGATGGCAGCACTCTCCCTCGGCAGTCATATTATATTAGGATAGAATGAAAATTTAAAAATGTACAATTTTGGGTTATGGCAACCTGTTCGAATCAACTATAGCGATCATAGATCTTATAAATCAAATTACTTATGTACTCACTGTTGTTCTCAGCTTCTAATCATGTTGCTTACTTATTGAGAACATGGAAGTCATTATGGCTGGAGACCTTAAATTTGCCACAGTTATTTTTTCACATTTACTAGTCTCTTTCTGCATCATTTTCATGATCACAATTGCTTTTTTTAGGGTGAGCCTGGTAAACAAGGAAGCTCAGGAGGTTCTGGGGACCGTGGACCCCCTGGCCCTGTTGGCCCACCTGGTTTGACTGGACCTTCTGGAGAGCCTGGACGTGAAGTAAGTTCTGTTTATTATTAATAAATAAATATTTATAATGCAGTTCCGAGTTTGTAAAATGTATATTTATGGAACAAATTTATAACAGCAACATTCAATACTTTTCAAATAATATAAATTATTCTTATTAATTGTTGCCTATAGTTCTTCATATTAAAATACATGTAAAATTGTAGGTTCCTATTCTAGCAGATAATACATTCTATGCAAAGCATATTAGAGTAGACATGTTTTCTTGAATTAGAATCACGGGTGTTGCTTCAAAAACATTTACATACATTTAGTGGGTATTGATAGTAATTGTACATGCCATAAAGGATCATTTTTCATTCAGTACTTGGTTTCGCTAGTAGCACATTTAACTGGACTTGTTTTGAAGAAAGGTCATACATAATTATTAAGAAACACGTGTTAGTCCAGGAACTTACATAAACACAGTGCAAATATAATTGTAATTAATTTTTTTTCAATGTGTAAATTGTTGGATCTGTTATTTAGGGAAACCCTGGATCTGATGGTCCTCCTGGCCGTGATGGCTCTACTGGTGTGAAGGTGAGGCTGTGACTTTAACTCTCTATGAAAACCTTCAGGAACAGTATGAGGGTAGACCAATTAGTGGTGATTCTGCACTAATTTTGTTTAATAGATCTCTGAGTTAGTAAATAGCCTGGGCCTTTACTTTTTTATTATTATTATTATTATTCAGGATTTATATAGCTCCAACAGTTTGCTCAGTGCTTTACAAAATAAATCCATATTCACAGAGGTATACTGTATATGTTTCAAGAACTACACATTTGGAAATACAGATAATTAGGATAAAATTCTATATAGGAGGAGGTATATTTTTATGCTGTTGTCTTCCTTCTAATAATTCAATACTGCAGAAAGGTTCTTGTGTCCTTCTTTAGCCAATAATGCCAGATGACTTAAAACAATTATTACTTTTAGCGTCACAATATAAGGACAGGTAAATTCAGCAGTGATATCTAGAGATGCGTGTAGGCATGGGAACCTTACATAGTGTATTTAGTGATTTTAGTGTATTAAGTGATTGTACATATGGGTAACAATTGTTCTTTAAATTCAAATATATATTTGTCTTGAAACAAACCCTAATATTAGAATAGGTTATACCAATTATTGGTATTAGCAGAACTATTACTCAAAATCTTATACTGGCACTTAACCATTTCTTTTAATATTCAAGGGTGACCGAGGTGAGACTGGCCCTCTAGGTGCTCCTGGTGCACCTGGCTCCCCTGGTGCTCCTGGCCCTGTTGGCCCAACTGGAAAACAAGGAGATAGAGGTGAAGCTGTAAGTATATTTTTTAATTAAATAATATAAAACACATATTTAATCTAAAATATTTTAACATGTAACTGTTTGCACCTTTTTTTATAGGGTCCACAAGGTCCTTTGGGTCCATCTGGTCCAGCTGGAGCACGTGGTCTGCCAGTAAGTAATGTTTGTTTTTTTTTTTATTTTTTGTCATTTTTAATTTTTCTTTCAGAGTTTCACATGTGCATGTTAAAGCAAAATAACAATGTAACACCCCTTTTTTTTCTAAAATTAACCATACCAAATATAGCCACTCAATGCAACTATGGTATAGCCAGGTATTAAATCAGTTTGGTTATACACATACCTAACTGACATTTCAAGTTTCAAAGAAATACTAATTGTATCATGACCATCTTCACTGGAAGATGTAGCCTGCATGGATTATAAAAGGGGCATTTGGGAAAGCAGCAAATGATTTGTAGATCTTAAGGGATGTATCTAATTAAAGCTTCAAAATCGATGTGTATAGGTTTGTGTAAGAGACCTGGAATATATTCCAAGGGTAATATAGGGAATGCTTTTTACTTTGTTGCTTGGTTTATTGTTACTATGGGTTTATTGTAAAGTATTAGGCCCCTTTCACATGGGTGATCCGATCAGGTCCGTTTGAAAAATTGGAGGTCCATATGTTCCTATGGACAAGCGACTGTAAACGGACTTGTGTCTGTTTAAACTTGCCTACCTCTGGGTCCAATCTGGTCCAAAAAAAAACTTCCAGATTTAATAAAGTAAGCATGCATAACTACATGTGAAATAACTAACAGTACTGCATCTACAACATATAACATAATTAAGAATAAAATTGTTCATTAAATTTCTAAATGTTATCATGCCTATATTGTGTTTTGTCTATCTTAGTGTTCATGGTGTCACACTATGTATTTTAGGGTCCTCAAGGTCCACGTGGTGATAAGGGTGAAGCTGGTGAGTCTGGAGAAAGAGGTCAGAAGGGTCACAGAGGTTTCACTGGTCTTCAGGGTCTGCCTGGACCTCCTGTAAGTACATTTGTAAAAGTATACAATTTTTATTTTACAAATAGTCATTTGGTACATGACAAAGATTTCCTCAGAGCTCTACAGGATGATTGAATAGACAGCAGGTGCTGCTTACTATTAGACTCCCTTTGGCTTATTAAAATCTCCTACTCAGTCATTTGATAATGGTTTCATTTCAGCTGTGATGGCTCATTGAGTTCTGTAAACAGCCAGCTCCATTCAGCATTGTATTAGCAAAGATACAGTGCTTAACATATATAAAGGAGAGAGTGCAACCAACTAGTTGTAAAGAAGATTTTTTTGTAATCCTGATCATGATAAAGAAAGAACATATGTGGAAAACACTATACATCACCCTGTATCCTCTATTCATAAAATGTGTTTCACTACTCAGCAGTGAGTTTAGAAATCCTGGAACCCTTAAAGGGCAGACATATAAATACTGTTAAAGTTTTAGCCTTTCCAGGCTTTGTTGTTAGCAGTTGTAGTGGTATGGTTTTATCCAGGTGAGCCCAAAGCAATTATAATCAACTTTTAAAAAATGACCTGTCCATAAATCCAGATATATTAATTTTGTATGCGCATTATTCTTTTTCTGCACAAAAGTCTATCAATTGAACACATACATAGGTAGCAAAACTACAAAAGGACAGAGTTAAGAAGATAAACAATATTTTTAATCAAAACAACAAGTTTACCATATACTATAGTACAAAAATGTACCATATGTAAAAATGTACTAAATGTATTAAATGTAAACTTTACTTTCATTTACAATTTAGGGTACTGCTGGTGATCAAGGTGCTACTGGTCCTGCTGGCCCCTCTGGTCCAAGAGTAAGTGCAAATTTAACTTAAATTACATTATTATTACCATTATCCCTGCTATTTTTTTCATACTGAGCATTATCAATTTGTGTGTCTTGATTGGTTTAGGGCCCTCCTGGTCCCATTGGTCCTTCTGGCAAAGATGGTTCCAACGGTCTGCCTGGTCCAATTGGTCCACCTGGTCCACGTGGTCGTGGTGGTGAAACTGGTCCTGCTGTAAGTACAAACAAAATTTTTCTTGTTCTAGGTATGCAGATACAAATGCACCGAAGTTTTACCTGTCTTGAGAGTTTTATTTAATTTGGTAGGCAATAAATGTGGCAAAAATTAAGTAAGAATAGAATACAGTCATCTTATAGTTCATTTATTAATTTATACTTCCGTAATCCATTAGGGTCCTCCTGGTCAACCTGGTCCACCTGGTCCTCCCGGTCCTCCTGGCCCTGGCATTGATATGTCTGCATTTGCTGGCCTGTCTCAGCCTGAGAAAGGACCTGATCCTCTGCGTTACATGCGTGCTGACCAAGCCTCCAGCAATCTCCGCCAGCATGATGTTGAGGTTGATGCCACTTTGAAATCGCTGAACAGCCAAATTGAGAGCATTCGCAGCCCAGATGGAACCAAGAAGAACCCAGCCCGTACTTGCCGTGACCTGAAACTGTGCCATCCTGATTGGAAGAGCGGTAAGTGAAAACCAGCCACTACATTTTTCATAACACAGTAGAAAATGTCAGTGATAAGAATATTTCTTTCATGTTAGCCTTTTTATAGATGTGTTAGATATCCACCTTTAACAACCCACAATGCATACATGACATACTGTATGGCTAAATCTTGTAAATCCACATTTTCAGTAATTTGGATCAAGAATAGGGAAATTAAGCAGTTTCGTGAATCATTTCCTATTGTAATATGAACAAATATTTTTTAACTACAAGAGTAGAATTTGCTCCATGCATTGTATGAATGTTAGGACTTTAGACATACAGGCTTATTCAATACAAGCAGAGCTGATATGCAGAGTGTAGTAACACATGGCAACTAATCAGGTTTCAGGTTACCACATTAAAGTAAGGTAAGATTTAATTGATTGTAATGGATTACTCCATTATACATATCACCATGGCTCTTTCAATTGCCTTATTAAATAATGATGTTGCTAATTTTTTTTTTAAAAGCATTTTTTGTGTTTTTTAATGTGGCTTGTAAAATACTTCTTCGGCTTATTTCAAATTGTTTTCTTTGTATATGCTCTGTCTTCCCCAGGACTTTTTCCTCTATGCATAGTGTTCTCTGTTTGAGATCATTGTGTTTATGTAATGCCCAATGTTTCTAGGATATAGTTTGTGTAATTCCTATACTGAATCCTATAAGTCTCCTACCTTTCATTTAATCTGTACAGCAGAAAAATATTTTCAGAAAATTATGTTTTCTTCCATTATTATATTTTATTGAATCTTTCCTTTTTATTCAGGAGAGTACTGGATTGACCCCAACCAGGGCTGCACAGTTGATGCTGTCAAGGTCTTCTGTAACATGGAAACTGGAGAAACATGTGTATACCCAACTCCAAGCAAGATCCCCAAGAAGAACTGGTGGACAAGCAAGACCAAGGACAAGAAGCACATCTGGTTCGGAGAGACAATCAATGGTGGCTTCCAAGTAAGTACAGCTTCTTTTGTTGATATTCATCTTTAAATCTGACTAAAACTGTTGTCTCTTAAGCATTGTTTTGATACATTTCCAATTACCGAAAGTATTTTATTTAACTTTTCACCAACCAACAATTTTGTTGCCTTTATTATTGCAGTTCAGTTATGGTGATGACAGCTCAGCACCCAACACTGCCAGCATCCAGATGACCTTCCTTCGCCTTCTGTCCACGGATGCATCACAGAACATCACCTACTACTGCAAGAACAGCATTGCTTTCATGGATGAGGCATCAGGCAACCTGAAAAAGGCTCTCCTCCTCCAGGGCTCCAATGATGTAGAGATCAGAGCTGAAGGCAGCAGTAGATTCACATACAATGCCTTGGAAGATGGTTGCAAGGTAAATGTAAAATTAAATATTTCACAAATCTGCAGTAAATGTTAAAGCTGAATTCCAGATATACATTTAAATAACAAAAAAAAAATAGATACTGCTTTACCTGCCATTTACCTGTATTTTTGTACATTTATATAGCACTATTACACACACAGCCAGGACACCACTTTTAAGGGTTACAGGAAACCACTTGCCCTCCAGAGGATTTACCCCTCTTCCTGACCAGACCAATTTTTGCGCTACTGCGCTGCGTTAATTTAACTGACAATTGCGCGGTCATGCAATGCTGTGTACATTTATGTCCTCTTTTTACCACAAATAGAGCTTTCTTTCAGAGGTATTTGATCACCTCTGCTTTTTTTTGTTTATTTTTTACGCAATAAACAAAAACAAATCAACAATTTTGAAAAATATTTTTGACTTTTTTCTATAAAACATATCCAATAAAAAGTCTTTGCTAGGAAAAAAAATCCCAATTCGCTTAAATTAATAGTTTTTTGTGAAAGTTATAGCGTCTATAAATGGCGATATATATACTGGAATTTTTTTTTGTATACTAGTAATGGCAGCGATCAGTGACTTATAGCGGGACAGCAGGGGGCATTCTGACACTGGGTGGGAATTGACTAAGTGCCACTGACATCCCCAGTGACAATAATACAGTGATTAGTGCTAATAAAAAGCACTGACACAGTACTAATGACACTTGGCAGGAAGGTGTTAACATCTGAGGCTATCAAAGGGTTAACTGTGTGCTGTGTGTGTTTTACTGTGTGCTGTGTTTTACTAGGAAGGCATGCTGTGCAGAGAGATACAAACCAGCATGCCCATGCTGACAGGAGAGACCTGTGTTGTTCACACAGGTCTCTCCCATGTCAGCTTTATCCGACAAACGCTGAGTGCTGGCCGGGAAAAACCCAGTGATTGACATCCCTAACTGCCAATAGCGGCATGCGCACCCCCTACCCAGAAATGCAAATCACATAAATATATATATATATATACATACATAATTTTGCGCAGCCCTGCCACCTTGTAACAGTACTTCTGCTATAGGGTGGCGGGAAAGTGGTTAAATAATACCCTGGTGCCATCTCTCCACCCTCTGCCTGCTGTTTGGACAGTAAAGGAGTAGAATCATACTATGGCACAGTGGCTTAGTGGTTAGCACGTCTGCCTTGCAGTAAATGGGTCATGGGTTTGATTCCTGACCGTGGTGCCTCCTGCATTGAGTTTGCATGTTCTACCTGTGCTTGCATGGGTTTCCTCTGGGTGCTCTGATTTCCTCCCACACTCCAAAGACATGCTGGTAGGTTAATTGGCCCTAGTATATGAATGTGAGTTAGGGACCTGAGATTGTACACCCCTTGAGGGTTAGGGACTGATGTGAATATTCAATATATATATATGTGTAAAGTGTTGTGTAAATTGACAGTGCTATATAAGTACCTGAAATAAATAAATAAGAACATCCCTCTGCTCCCTTGTCCTGTCAGGCTGTTCCTTGTCAGCATATCTGCATGCATCTCACTTGATTAGTTCCTTGTACAATCCCTTCCAACTTTATTATTATTTTTATCTAAGTCAACATCCTGTATGAATAAGGGATTTCAACAGGCTGATACTAAGTCAAATTCAGGTACTTACACTAGTTGCATTTAAAACATTCATATAATGATTTATTAATGACTACATAGCTAGATTCAGTTGTTTATTTAATATCTCCCTGGAGTTCAGCTTTAATGGTGCAGTTCTCATGTGTATAAAGATACAGGTATTCTATGTAGAAAACATTAGTGACATTTAAAGCATTCATATGATTTATTAATGAATACATAGCTTCATTATATTATGTATTTAATATCTCCCTGGAGTTCAGCTTTAACAGCACAGTTCCCATGTGCAGTAAGATACAGATAATCTATCTAGAAAACATCTTTTTTCTTTTACAAAATTGGCTCAGCTGGAACAAGATAGATTGCAGCACAATATTACTTTCTGGTTGGCCCAAATTTTTATAGCACGATGGAAGATCTTCTTTTAAAGACACTTTTACAATACAATTATAAGTCAGTTAGGGCTGCAGATATATTATTTTGAGCCCTTATAAAAATTAAACCATTGCCATGGATTAGGCAAATGGCTTTTCCAGAAACTTTCCATGCCGAGGTTCTCAGAATTTTACTGTACTATGCACCTTTAACGGTTTTGATACAAAACCCTAATACCAGAAGCAATATGTAAATCCAAAAAAATGCAGAGCTAATCTGTAACATCAATCAATCAATAAAAAGTAATAAAAAAGTGACAGTCCAACAATTGTGCTCCTGTAAAAAAAAACAGACCTTCGAGGTGTTCTTTCCCTTCAATGGCATTGGACTAGTGGGCACTCTTTTTTTTTTTTTTTTCCTTTTGGAATTCCTGAAAGCACTATCTATACACATCTCAGATGTTTTTTTTACAGGAGCACAATTGTTGTACTGTCACTTTTTGATAAATTTTTATTGATTGAATGTTACAGAGTAGCTCTGCACTTTTTGATTTACATTTTGTGAGGTGGGTTGTATCTTATAACCTGTGCCAACAGCTTTATTTATTAACTGAATGTCTATCTGAGCGCAGGAATACACATGTTACAGAAGCAATATGCACAGGGTTAGTGGTGCAGCTGCATCAAGACAATGGAATAGTCCCCTGCACATGCCAGAAGTCATGATATAATGTGTTATATGTTATGATGAATGTCAATTTTGCATTAATTAGCAATTAATTTATCTTGCGAATAACTAACCACTGTTTTTATATTTTTTTTCTAGAAACACACTGGCAAATGGGGCAAGACAGTTATTGAATACAGGACACAGAAAACTTCCCGCCTGCCCATAGTAGACATTGCACCTATGGATATTGGTGGAGCTGATCAGGAATTTGGCGTTGACATTGGCCCAGTTTGCTTCTTGTAAAAACCAAAAAGTAAATAAAATAAATAAAAACCCTAAGGACCTGAGTACTTTCCAATCACTTTTAGGACTTCTGCACTGAATGGCTGAACCGACCCCAAATTTCCATTCATCCACGCGCTTACATTTTGGACACTTTTATTTTGTATTGCAAGGCCAGAACTGGGCAGACTGCGGAATAAAATCATGGTATTATTTATTTATTGTCTTCCTGTAAGACCTATGGGTCAGGTGAAGGTGTGACACTAACTGGCATGATTGAAGGCTCCCCTAAACTGATGTACGAAGTGCAGTTTAAAGCATCCCTCCCCCCTCACAGTGTATACCAGCAGAAGTACTGTGTGTCATTGAATGAAATGGTGCTATTGTTGTAAAAAAGTTTGTATTTTGTAACATCAACTGATATAAAAAATAACTTTTTTTGGAAAGTACAAGTTGATCTGAGCTTTGTTCTTTTTTATTTTTATTATACTGTAGATAGCAAAGAAAAGAACCAGGATTTTGAGTTTGTCTGCCCTTTGTTTTTTATTTCCAGTACAAGATGAAGGAAGTTTAGGGCAAAATCTACAACTTCCCAGGCTTAAGCTACCTCACACTAACTAAAAAAAAAAACTAGAAAGACACAAGTGTAATTTTGAAGCTGAACTAAACATACAGTAGAAGCTACAGAATCATGGATGGAAAGATCATGAGTCGTTTTGCCAAGATAAGGTGCTTACCTTATATTTCTGGGTTCTCCATTTAGTTGAAGACTAAAGAGATGGATCAAAGATCGAGGATCATGATGAATCAGTGGAGTTGAGAATGGTAACCTTAAGTGTTGCTGTTTTGTGGTGGAACTTGGATAATGCCAAAGTTTAGCAGCTAGAGACAATAAAATCAGTATTGTAGTAGGCAAGTGGATGATTTATTTTATTCAGGTTAAAGCCATTCAAAAGTATTTCTTTGTTGTTTTATTCTTCCAAATTGTGTATGTGAATTACTGATCCCTGTATCCTTTCCCTAAAAAACTAAACATCGCCGAGTTTCTCTGCAAAAATGACAAGGGACAAAGAGGTAGGCATTTTTGGCCCAGAGGGGGTGGGGGAAGCAAAACCAGAACGGATAAAGAAATAATATGTATTATTTTGTATATGTAAAATAGATTTTTTTTTTTTATTTTGCAATACTGATTTTCAGCATGGTAGGCTAGCGAACATGCCCAACACCAACACTAATCTTTCTTGTGAAATAATTGTCTTACTGTATCTTATTTTTTTTTCATTTTCCCACCCCTCCTACTCTTCCGCAATAAAGATAGAAAGCTTTTTCTATTAAAAAAAAAAAAAAACACATTTTGTTGGATTTTTTTTTTATTTGTATTAAATTCCGTCCTATGATGTAATCTTTGTTGAATGATGTTAATCTTATCTGGGATATTTCATGACAGAACGAAACAACACAAATAAAAATTTTAATTAAAAAATAATCATCAGGCTTTTTATTTTAATGGAATTCTATGTGATGTCTCACCTCTATACTTTTAATATTTGAAGGATGAGAATCAATAATAACAAAACATTAACTTTAGAAACACAAAGCTAAGCCCCACACCAAATCAATATTGTGAGCAAGGACCAAGCAGTTCTGGTTTTAGAGTGCTGCTTATCAGGTTAGTTTAAGGGATGGCCCTAAGTAGGCAACTATTATAAAATGGTTTGTTATATAAAAAAATAAACATTAAAAGTATTCAGGAGAAAAAAACGTGTGATTTTGTTATGTCTCAGACGCTGTTACATTGGTACCATTTTGCTGTGTTTTAAGTATAATAGGGTGAGAAAAAATGACCATTTAGGAAAGCTGCATTGTACAGTATTAGATCTGCATTGTCAACGTATTCTGGATCTGATCTGTAGGAAAGTACAAATTATCTCTTTGACATGTAAATAAATCAGTGCTGAGAGGGGAGCTCATAGTTTTGCTTCAGTCAGGTCTTGAAAATCTATGCCTTGAAAAGCATATAGAGCATGTAGCATAGTTTCATATGATGTCTGTTTTTCCTCCAAGCATATCCGTATTGCCTTGAGGCACTTACAGGTAATTTTGGTTTTCTGGAAAAAGCCACGCAGCCATGAGAAGGCAATGTTTTGTGACGGGTAAAATGTATTATATTGTATTGTATTGTCTTTGAGATGCATTTACAGCGCGCTAACCATTAACATTGCATTCCAATACACTTGAGAAATAAAACTTGTTGAATGCTGAATTTGAAAAATACAATGATGTATGGCAAAGCAACAGTGTCTTAAAGTTAAAAATGAAACCTAGTTCTAAATTTATATCCTGCATTTCAAATCTTTAAAAACTCTACAGAAATACCTTTCCGCAAATGCCCATGTGCTGTATGCTACCCATAAGGATAAAGAATGGGGACTGCAAGGTTTTCTGAACACTGTCAGCAAATCAACGATTGATTCCACATATTGTTTGTAATAGCTCCTTAAAGTGCATGTCCAGCCAAAACTTTAAATTTTTGAGTTTTGGATAGAGTGGGGAAGGATTAGATGATCTGTCTGTTTTTTCTTCCCATTCCCACACCCTTCTTGTAGTCTACTAAAAATCTACGTTTTTATTTCTTTCTGTGTTGCTGTTGGAGAGTTTCCCACATGTCCTGTCTGGTGAAATCATTATCACTGGGGCAGTGAGGGAAATCTCAAAGTGATAGCAATACAGTGACTTCAAATCCATCCCCATTCTATACAAAACAAAAAAAAAGTTTAGCTGGACCCACATTTAATAAAGGGAAGATTTGATAAGTAATTTAGAATGTGTGCCACACTTTGTGGCTTGATGGCTTCAAAGATGAAAGGGTGAGATCTGAAGTTGGTGGGGCAGTTGAAGAATATTTCTTGGTATCCAAATTAGGCTATTATTGTTGCTTAGCTAGATCTGTACTGAAGGTATTGAAGAGAATCAAATAATATAGCATGCCAATATTTCTATATTATTAATGAATATATCACATCCAAATTGCCCTGGTTCCTTCACCTAAATGTTGAAAATTTGTACCCACACCCACTTTTGGGTTCTTCTTTTCTGGAATATGTAAATTGGGGATGTCAAGTAACAAAACCTGTACTGAGAGACATATTAGTCCATCATTGTGGACCACTGCTGATACAATGGCACCGATACTTATTTAAACAAGTATGTGGATCAGGTGTTCTGAAATTATTATGACATCACTGGCTGCACATTTGTTCTCAATCACTCAAGTACAAAAAGCCAGACAGACAGCTACCAATTTAAAAGATAGTCAGCAGGGGCAGCTTGATTGTTCTCAGTATAGATAATGCAATTACTTTTTTTTTTTTCATTCTGATTTTTTTTTAAATAATTCTTGAATACAGAGAAATATAGTATACAGAGAAAATATTGCACATTCAGAAAAAGAATCAGTTGAGAATCAAAACAAGTCTGTAAGGTTACAATACAGAAAATCAACAACTTGTGCAACCATATAAAAGGCAAGGAACATTGGCATATACAAGTTGATATTCATACCAAAAGGGTGATCTAAGAGGAAACAATCTTATAAGAGACATATGGCTTGGAGTTACAGTTCTTTCCTTTAGGATTTTATATATCAAAAATTAGAGGGGAAGGATAAAGAAAGAAACTTTGATGTTGGTATAGAGGGTAAAAGGGGAAGGTTTAGGGAAAGTCTAAAGTATAATAGCCTACTATAAAGGCATATTAAGAACAGAACCCAGGACTGTAAAATAAGAGTTACCAAAGGGTTAAATAAAAAGGGACAAGCAAGGCCTGCAGAGGAGAAAGGGTAAAGGACCAATTCCAGTTGATTTCCACGGAAAGAACCTAAACAATGTGAGCCCTAGATGTAGACTGAAAAAATGGATCAGGTAGGATACTGTAGGAGATGAGAACCATACTCTGATGTAGAGCAAAACTTTTGCAAATGGTAAAGGAAGGGAGTTAAATCTTCCATTTGCATGATCACATTAACCTGAGCAAATCACTTAGCCAGGGTAGAAGGGGAGGTCTGTCTCTATAAGGCAGGAAGAGTGACCCTGGCAATGTTAATCAAATGAATCATTAGTGAGCTCCTCTATTTTTTTTAATGAGAGAGGTGTCAGGTAGAACAGGAATCTATTCAAAAGCTATCTATTCAAACATCTATAAGTTTATAACACAATGTTTGGACTTAGGATGAAAAGGGGATTAGGAGGGGACATTCCCAAAATAAATACAGAAGTTTTACAGTACCACCACTGGGTATAGATATAAGGGCACATTTTGTTCAGTAAGTCTAGGGTCTAATACCATCTTGTAAGTAGTTTGTATGCTGATTCCTGAGTTTTATTAGGAATGGAGGCTTTATATGCCAAAAAGAGACTATGATCTATTTGATTTTGTGAAAATACTGTATATGATTGAGGTCTTTTACCCAGGCTTGAATGTAAAGCAAGGGAAAGCAAGTGTCAGCTTCTTGTAGGCGTAAGCAAGAGCTAGGATTTGTCTGTGTGGGGTTATCCATAAACATTAGTTTCTCAAAGGGTGTGGTGTTGTTGAATAGGTTGGAACCTGAACATATAAAGTGGAAAAAATGAGAGACTTGAAGCATTTGCCAATCTTACAGGTGAGGATGTAATTGTATCTCAGGTTGATGGCGTGGATAGAACTTACTCTCTGTAGCTAAATAGGAGATGCGAATGATGCCCAGACACACAAGATTGATAAACTCGATGCCAGCGTATCACAGCAAAAAAGCAGAGGAACCCAGGATTGGAGTTAGTGGGGCCACTATTAAATCATAGTGGATAGAAAGAGCTTACAGGAGACCATGCATGTGGCAATGATTAGAGGGTGGTGCTTAAGATCTAGTTTAAGTTGGTCATGGCTCCACAGAAGGCCACCAGATGCAAATAAGGAAAGCCTTTTTCAATCTGAACCCATGATTTGGAAGAGTAGAAGTGTTCTGATCTAAAACTCTTGCTAGATGA